AAAACCACGCAGCAACATTGTTTTAGTCCAACTACACTGAATGATGAAAGCATGATTCTCAAAATCGACAAAACCTCTATATCAACATCTAGTGGATTCATCTAGACCTGGTCACTGTTAGCTGTGACACAATTCAATATTTTCGGACTTTTCAATATGTGGTTTGTTTATGAACATGAAATCTACTGATAATAGTTGAGTGATAACGATATCTTCGACCTAATCAGAAAATCTTCATTGGCTACTCTGACAAATCCTAAGTCATGTTTTGGACCTATGAACAAACCAAACTAGGAGAAACTCATGAATCTTGTCCACAATGCCTCGAATATCACTAGTTGACACTTACTGAAGTAATAATTTGCTATTAGATATAAATACGAGAGGCGGGACTTATACTAAGTAGAAATTCTTTAAACTATAGTTTTGTTTTTAAACTCGTGCAGATGTTGAAATTGTTCGAAGACGAATGTCTGTTGAACTTATATGCATGAGACGTTTATCAGTGTAATACACACCTCTGTAATTTTACTGTTAGTTTCCATTCACTAGAACTCAACTAGAACAGTGTTACATGGTCTTAAGTCAAAGTCGCAATTCTCAATAACCTACTATCTTTTCACAATCATACCTGTTGTCTAGGGCTCTCGTGGTTTCATAACACAGTGAATAGACAGACATCTTGCCACGCAGATGATTCATTTAAAGAACAGGGTAACAGAGCTGTACGAATTGTTACCTAACTCATTCACACCACATCTCCATCGTGTTGGTTAATCTGTTCATGTTCACACAGTGATCAACTTTTCAGGGTGAAGACATTTTTATTGATCTACTATTTCCATAGGACACAGTGCTATTTAAGTGAACTGAAGAGATTAATATTTTTTGCACCACTCCACCTATATGCTATTTCCATCGAACGAATTGTCCAGTTGATAGCTCTGATGTGGTTTGATAAAATCATTCGTATTAGCCAACGACATACTTCTTTTTGCAATTCCCACTGCTGTTTACGCTACGCACCTTAATTGTTGACCGTTCCTTTTTCAGGTGAACATTTGAAGATTGTGGGACTCCCATCAATTTAGCTTCAAAATCAAAGAAATTCAAACCAACGAATTTATCAAACCACCAAATGGAAGCTTTTCTCCATTCATGTTTCCATGTTGATGGATCCTATATTTATGACAGCCTAGAAGAAAACCTAACGTTTATTAGCTTTTTCCCATTTAGTTTGAGCAGCGATTACTCTCGAAAACTTTTGACCTTCACTTTGCGACATCCTCGTGCAGTTGCTCAGTTTTCTACTTTCAACTCCTACACGATTCACGTAGCTAAAATTTCTTACACAATTTATGACTACTTATTCCTCGGTTTGTTTATGATTGGTCAGTTTTATTTATAAACTCATCAGATGTCTGAAATGAAGGGATCCGAAGATATTTCTGATAGACTATTCATATGTCGGGAAGCGTTTGGTCTGAGCTAGTTATCAGTTGCATGGAGTGCGTATGTTAGTTCCTATATGATTAAGATGCGACTAATTGAGTGGGCTTAAGGAGCTGTTGAGAACAATATGTTGAAGATGCCACGGGAATTCAGGGTTTGATTATGTAGCACGGCGAATCCACTAATGATGTGGTACCTATTTATGTCCAAGAGCCTTCAGTTAGTGTATGTTCAGTATAATTGGCAAGGTCAGAATCAATGTTGCAGATCTACAGAATTATCACCTCGCCTCCGTGAGGCAGTGCTGGTCCCACGACGTGACCAACCGGACGTTTGAACCCAAAGAAGCTTGCTGGTGGCAGATACTTCTGATAACTTGCTGTGTTCAGGCGTATTTGGTTTGATAACCATATTATAGGAAGTTATTTGGTATAACAAAGTAGTAGAAATAAGTACGCAGGAAATCATGGTCCATCGTACATTCTGTCAGTCCTTCACATTTAGAAGTGTAAGTCAATGTACGTATGCACTAGTACTTGTTTAAGGTATATATGCGTATAAATACTGAGAAACAGTGAGAAAGTTTAGGTATTGAAAATTCCTTTGGATTCATATACAAATAAATAATATGAACATATATGTATATAAGGGAGTGAAACTTTTAACTATTTATGAAATCTCATTTTCAGTTCGTTAGCTTGTGAGTTGTAGGCGGTCGTTTGGAATTATATGATTTCTAGAATCGTGATAAGGCAACGAAAAAGTTTAGAATCGATCTAGCCTCTGTGATTCATAGCAACAGTTAAAGGGCAGTCAAACTTTGACACTCGTCTTTCAGCGAAGTCACGGGCCTATGTTACTGCAGCAATAACAACAATAATAATTTTTTCTTCAATAACGGTTTTTTACATGAGGCATGCCAGTTTACAGACAAGGTCAATGTCCTTGATGTGTACTGCTTCTAGCGATCTTGGTAAGCGGTCCCTACGTGTTAAGAGGTAAGAGTTTGAATTTGAATTCAGTAGTAGTCCTGCCAGACCAAGATGAACATGTTCGAAACGAGCGCCAGGATTTGCGGACGAGCCTAAGGGACATACTTTGTGTTTAAGTACCTTAGATTTCAGACATCTGATACTAGAATGTACACATTCCTTCACATTTTTCTTTACAACAGGCCAACCAAAACTTCCTGCTACGAGCTTGATGACCGCTAAAACACCTGGATGAGATGATTTGTTCAACGTGTCAAGGACTTTGCGCTGTTACTATGACGGCGCAATTCGACGAGTCCCGCTAACATCTATTCGATTCACTGTTTCAGGATTGTTGAAGATAACTCGTACTGAAGACCAGCGCCTTTTTAAGCTGGGTGATATTAAAAAGGTCTATTCTTTGGTAATTGTTCAGAGAAATCATACGAGACAGGGTTGTTGTGACTTTATGTCCGGCTTTTTGTCACGTGATCTATCCACCAACCAAAGTACGACTTGTACAATCTTCGCACTGTGCCAAACCAATGACGTTCAACCGGTATGGGCATCCTAGCGTCCGTATTGGTCCTATCTCCGCCAAGCCCGCCCACTTGAGTCCAGAACACCAATGCCAGCTTCCACTATGAGAATCGAATAGAATCATTCCAGACATACTGGGTTCATATATCAAACAAACATACCGCAACGCACCATAAAATAGGAAATAACATTTGAACACAATAAAGCCAAAAAAGCGACCGTGAACATGAGAGGCAGTAGTCAGTAAACTAAACATAGCTTAAGAACAGTAACTCGTACAACAATAAATTATAGGTCAAAGTGAAGCTTATAATAAAAGGAATATAAATATACATAATCTAATTATTGAGTAGTTATACCATAAGAATATATAGATAATATTAGTCAATTAATATGTCTCAGAAGTAATTGGTGATTTAATCTTCGCTCGGCTATAACAAGGGGTGTGCAACTAAATTGTTTACTCCAGAAACACACTGCATAAACCGAGAGGTGAAGTCCAGTTGTCAAAACTGCGAAGGATTATTTGTTTAAAGATGGGCTAAGGAAAATATGAGAGTTTGGTAAACAGAATGAGGTCTCGTTATTCTACATGGTGCTGAAAGTGTCGCGCAGCACGTTACACAACTGGGAGTTTGTTGCCGAGGGTGCTATTCCTCAATTCAGCGCCTTGCAACCGTCCCATGAAGAATGACAAAGGTTGATGGGTGTTATGTACTCATTGCTTTAAGATTCTTCCCATTATCAAGTCGTATACGTCTACGGCAATACCAATGGATGCTTTGATATCCTAGTATGAGAGTACAGTTACTTTAGCGACAATTCCTCTGAATGTCGAAAACGATTTTCACGCGCTAATCAATGCTTTTTGCGATTTCGTGAAGTTGGTCTGTTATGCCTCATAGGGGACGCTCAACTCAGTCCGAATCGGATTAGAAAACTTATCCGTTAAACGTTCTTTAATAATTAACTATGGTTGCTTCTGGGAAATACAGAATTGTCGTCTTTTGCTTCACTAACGGTGAATGCCTTGAGTGTTAATAACGTGCACGAGAAAGTCCAGGAAGTTAGTTTTGATCCGACGTGTCTAAGTACTTACACTAGTGCCACGTTACTGGACCATTCGGAAACAAGGCTCGGATGCATGAGATTCTCAAGCACCCTCAATAAGTCATAAATATATGTGTGCATGAGGTTGAGACTTCTGAGTGTCACAGATGAATCTCTTAAACGTTTGTGCAGCATTTCTTGAACCGTAATTTATGCATGAAAATTTGTGGAGTCTGAAGGTAGTCATGATAGCGGTTCTAAAAATCTCGTCTGCATTCATAGGGATTCAGTTATATGCTTTAATGAGATTGATTTTCGGAAAAACAGTTTTGTCTTTTAAGTTTTCCGGCATACGAGCCTTTTCGATTAAAATATTCTCAAGACACCCATAGAAGAAGTTGATAGTTGTTCAGTAGAGAAGATAGGTTTAGCTAGTATGCAAGTGTATCATAATGTCACTTTTTAGGCTTTTTAGTCACAATAGCATTTGAGTTCCATGATAGGGTGATAATTGTAATGGTGAGAATGATTTTCTGAATACATTCATCTAGAAGTATGTTCATTAAAAATAACACGGACAAAATTGTTGTCGAATGCTAATGGAAACATTTACTTTTCGGAACCATCTACAGTTATATCGTTATTTCTTGACCGTCACACGATTTTATAATATAAACGTCATCAGTCAAGTACAGACTTGAGATCACTAAAGACCGAAGGCATATGTGAACGTATTTAAGCTTATAATATAAGCGCACAATTTTTCATGAATTTACAATTTTACGCAAACGCTGTGGTTGAATTACAGAGTACCCAGTGAAACTGAGTATTTTGGAGCACCTGTTTGGCTGATATAGATGCACAAAAACATTATATTTATTTAGTTTTATTAAGCTGAAAAAGGCAAGAATTCAGTATTTAAGAGTTTTTGATTTGATATGACGAATTCATTCAATGGTGAACTTCTTTGTTTACTTCATTTACCGAGTATATCTACTACCGTCAATTCAAAGGACTTACTGAATGTTGTTAATTACACAAGTTGTTTGCAAACAACAATCGAAAACTTTATTGGGATAAAGGTGACTCATTAGTTTTTCCCTATCGCAAACATATTTTATTCTGTGCTAACTGCATAAGACTATATTTCCTTGGAAAATATCTCTTGAGCACAAAATAAATATTTGTTTTAGAGTCTTTATGACTTAATCAAAATACTTTATCACTGTTCTGTATGTCAGATGATAAAATCTTATTTTCGTCTTTGTAAATCCAGATGCGAAACACATTGTTGTTAGATTTTATGGACTGCAAAACGTAAAACGAAGAATGCTGTTTATTTATTGCACTATGTTCACCTGTTGCAACATCGTGTCTATTTGCATACGTAACTTAACGTTTTAGTTGAAAATGTAAATATATATGCTACCTTATCATCATACATTGCATTGGGTCTGTTGCAAGTGTATAGTACTCACTGAAATATATGCAGATAAGCATAAAACCGTGGTTAGAATATAAGTTGATTTACTCAGGAAATAAATGTGTTGTGCATAAACTGATGATAAAACCAGCTGTAACTTTTCATAGGGGTTGTTAACACTGAATATACTTTATCATGTGGATAACAGAAGTCATCAAGATATTATTTAGTAACCCATCAAAATCAAACTCAGCGCAAATAACCAGATCCATTTATTTTGAGTTAATGTTATTAAGGAACGTTCAGAAATGGATTTCAAGTAAAGTTAGAACGAAGCCACTTAAGTGGATCTAAGTATAAAACCTAGATGTCAAATAAAATGAGGGTTATTAGAACTCACAGCATTTTTATTCAAGTTACTCGAGCCAATTACGCGAAATAAATAGGACTCATATCCTTTTACTTTAACAAAAATACATCTGTCTGGTAAACGATAACACATTAAATTGTGTATTTGCGCAACACATTCAGACCGTGAATTCCAAGGATATTTAAATGCTCTTTCTTTGGTTGATGGCAATTATTAGAGGTCATTTCTGTTCTTTATTCGTAAATCGACATGGATACTTTAGACTGACGCTAAATTCTGTGACATATCAGGGATAAATATTCATTTCAGATTTTGACGTAATCCTGTTTGTATTAGTTGGCGTTTGAACTGCATACTGGGAGCTAAAAATGCTATCATGTCTAATACAATATCACTAAATAAACACATAACAGCTTTAGCTTTTGTACATATATATATATATATATATATATATATATATATATATATATGGGTGAAGCAATCACCAGTTTTAGGTATGATGAGGAATTTGTAAATGATTGGGTGGAAGGTAGAAGATATATCTGAAACTCATTTCTAAGGTGCGATTTCGTATAAGTTTTGCATTTTTTTAAAACATTCTTACTTCTAAGAATATATAAGTGTAACGTCGAGATATTGTTTGAAGGAAGTATTAACTCATACGTTAAAGTATACACAAAGAATAAATCAGCACAAGGTTTCTGACCTCAGTACTAAAGTAACAATATATTTTTTCAATGTCATACACAAACTATCGAGTATCCATTGGTTGACAGTTATATCATCTCTGTTAGAACTCAGCTTTCGAGTTTGAATCTAGGCTAATTGAACAGCAAAACCACTAATTCATAAATAACGTCAACGTTAAATATGTTTTATTTATGCTTTACATGGATGTTTTTTCCAGTCAAGTTTATAATCATAACACAAAGTCGTGATGAAAGACAAATAACAGTGATTTTCCCTTTCCATTCAGTGAACTTTATTTTTGCATCAAATATACATTTTTCTATAGTATGAATTATTTTTAGTCATTTGTTGTTTTTTTCCTCGAGGCTTTTAATTGAAACCTTGTTTTAACACATCATTTGTGATTGTGTAAAAATAAGCTTATCAAGCAAACAAAAATGCTTCAGCTTACGAATGAGGGCCACAAATATACCTGACTAAAAATATACAACTGAAAAAGGAGCTTTTCTGAAACGACTGTTCATAGGAAAACCACATGTAACTGTACTCACTTGTGTATAGCTTTGTTAAATTTTTGTAACTCTCAGTCGATTTAAAAAGCGTTTATCAAAATGTTCTGAATTCTCACTTGACTTCTGAGTAACTACTGCGGGTAATTATGCACAAATAATCATCACCAGCTCCGTCAGTAAATTTGTCACATCCCTAAATTACTTATCTTTATTATCATTAGAACAAACGGTGATCTATGTATCTGCACACGGAAGATCTATGTCAATAAATGGGATTAAGCAATAAATTTATCAGACCGTATTTTGCCTGTTACGTAAGCGGTTTGGTAAATATAGTGAATTAATAATGTTACTGATGAAAACTGTGAACTCTCAAAGAACTTGTGAAATTCTGTGGGTGTAATGTATGATGAAAAATACTTTCCAAGTGGATCAGAGGTTTCAGAGAGAGTCGCAGAAACTGTAAGTTAGATCAAGGTTTAAACGACTACTGACCTCTATTGATATTAAAATCGAACGTGAACATAAATTTGTAATTTCTGATCGTTGATTCACCACCCGGACAATTTCTACAAAGCCTAACTTGGAGAATATTCTTGTTAGCATGATTTCAGAAAATTTGTCAAATATGAAGAAACTGTAAAGCTGTCAATTTGAGTACCGTCGAGGATGTGTCAAACGGTGGATGTAGGAAGAATGCATTTCAATCTATAAAGCATTTTGAAAGAAATAATATTAGTGCGTCCGACATCTTGTAAAATAAAATTTTCACCACCTCAGTTCACACATTTACTTTACAAACTAAATGTGGGTTCTATGAATAGTCAAATGTACATTAGTACGTTTGGCCTAACTGACATTTTGGAATATTTGTTTTCAATGAACCAAAACAATTGGAAAAGGCTTTTGAACTTATAAGTAAAGTATAAGCTTTGATTTTAGGTGAGTGCTGGTTATGTGGTTCTAGAGAACATAAACTTGAGTTATTTGGATGATTACTGCTATATCGTCAATAATATGGCAATGTGAATTAGTGTAGTGCTGACCAATTATACTAAACTGTGTTGTGGTTAAAATACTATTTTTTTCGGCCAGCCATATGAAATCTAATGCGCGCCTTATACAATTATAAGGTTATTGGTCATTCATTATTTTAAGTCTCAAAGATTACTTTAAACAAATATCTAACGTTATCGGAATTCATATCGCAATATACATCAGGAATTTTCAACATAACTGTTTGACTTATCTTACTAAAGGGTCTATAATTATTTAAACGACTTTAAAACATGCACTGCTTGTTCATTACCTTTAGATGAATTTAAAAAAAAGTGAAAATATGGTATGTTAAATTTTGGTAGCAATATGATACTATTATCTGTCAATATATAAGCAAATAGTATTTTTGGGCGAAAATGTTGTTTGTTGAATTGATGTGAAATTGTCATCTAAATATTGTAATGTAGCAAAAAATATGGAAAGACCAGTCGTATGTTAGCTAAAGCGGCTGACTTACAATTAATAAATTTCATGTTCAACTCCCACACTCACCTAGTTTAGTTTGTGGAGTTGGGCAGTATTAGGAATTTTCATACTTAGAAATTAGCATAAAGTTAATTATGCAATGCAGTATTGGTAGATGAGATACATCAAGTGGAATTAAATTGATATCTTTTATCTATATTTTATATGCGTAACAAAATTATTCAGATGAAAACTAATTAAATTCATAAGTAATTCTATCAAATATTCAATCCACATATATATTTTCTAATTGTATATTTATTTCCCAGGTTGTAATTCATTTTTAGTTTGTAAATGCATGCGTCATTAGCTTCTATCGGCAGGGCTTGTACAATCCAAGAAGATGAAGATCCGCCGGCTACATCTTTGGAGAGTTCATTCGACATGCAACAAGTTGATTACATTGAACAAAGCTTAAGATCATGTACGTCTTCAGTGGATGAGTTAGTCACACTCGCATTATCATTATGCCATTCGATTAAAATACTACCAAATTTTAATAAGATCGTTTTACAAGAACATCCTTGTGGAATCAAACAGAGTGATTCGGTAAGGCATTTATTCGTCTTTATGCTTACTCGATACATTTTATTATTAATTACGTAAGAAATAATGCGTGTTCCAGTTACAGTGGATGAAAGTTTCCCGTACATCTGATCAACGTTGACTTTTTATCAGAAATTACGTTCGCTTAAGTCAAAAACTCAAAAACTAAGATATTTTACACTATAAACTCTAAGTTTATCATACATTTTTAATTCTTATGTCAGTTCATACACAACTACTGAAAATCATTAACTCAAGGTATTCACTTCAGACACTGAATGGTATCAGATGGGAAATCACGAAAAATCATGGAACCCAAGAAAACCACTTTTTTCTACTGTGAAGCTTTTTGACAGTTTGTACGTACGACCTTGAGAGTGATCAATCCAAAGACATTTGAATTCCAAAACGACCGAAAACCATCCAGTCAGTCATAATGAACGTAGAGGTTCGGAAGAACAAAGACACCTTCAGATTACTAGGTCGAGATTCAATAGTAAACACTTCAAAATCCTGTTAAATCGCAATAATACGTGACGGTCATTCACCTCTTAGTTTTTGCGAAAATTACTGTGACTCAGTTTAATCTATTCACAACGAAAAACATTCGGTTATGGAAACATTCTGTGTGTAAATGTTTTAAATATAGAAAATGGAAATTTCGTAACAAAAATTGATTTTAAAATCGCTAACAAAGCTTAAAAACTGACAAGCCGAAATATTTCAAATGAGGAGGAAAATTTCCAAGTATAACAATTTCGGTATTTAGGAATCAATATTTTAAACTCAAGTTTGTGAAGATTTTTAACTATGGAATCCGGGTAGTTTTAATCAATCGTTTACAAGCGTCTTCGGTGATTTTTACTTAAGGGTGCGACACTCCATTTTATTATAGACTGCCACAAGTAAAATTATTGATAAACAGGACTTCACATTTTCTGAAACGTCCTTATCTTGTTTCAAGATTATTTTGTTTCTTCACGCATAACTAGCATATAGCTTAGATAAAAAACTTCAATTTTTTTAATTTAACAAGAGATACATTATTTTTCAAACATTTCAAATTATGCTTGTAAGAAATGATTAAACATGTTGTACGGCCTAAATATATGTGAAGTTCTGATTAATGAAACTGCCTGTAATCTAACACGCCTAACATATTTGTATAAACATAGTCGTCGGTGATTTTTGGCCCTGTCAATTGTGAATACATGAGAATTCATTTACGTAGAGCTAAATACAAACAGTCAATAAAATCTCGCTTGACTTACAAGTTGTAAGTGTGAAGCAAACTAAAAAACCTTTGAGCATAGAAACTCATTGAAGTTGTTCATCACTGCGTTTTCACTTTGTGGTATATTTATTAAGATATCTCAATTAAAATGTAGATTGACAAGAACTTAGTGCGCTTATACATTTTGTGCTTATAACTCTATATCGTATCAATGATAGGTTTTGCACTTAATTCGGTTTTGTGTTTTAACTTCTATTACAGATACTTAATACAGATAAATATGACAACAATAAAAACCAACCATCATCAGCATTGGATGAACATATCAACTCATCAACAATTAACGACCCCATTATATGTGTACATACTTCTTCCAATACTTCCAGAAATAAAGCAGATGATTTGAACCACTTAACTTATTTGCATCGTTTCTATTTAAAACTATTGAACGTTGTACATCTCGATACATTGAACAATACTGTAAAAGAGTTAAGTTTAGGTCTGCTTGCATTACTGGCTCATTCAGAAACTGTTCTCATTAAAGAAACCAATTTATTAGACTGTATTTTATCAAAATTTTCTATATCAAGCAATAATATTTATTCTTTTCAAGCTCTTTATGAGAAAAATTCTTGTAATATATTAAATGATTATCATGAGTTTTTATTAACTACATTATTACATTTTAATGATGAGAGTGGAGATGATGATATTGATGATAATAGTAATGACACACCTATTACCGGTTATACAACTACACATTATGATTATTCCTCACAATTAGGTGAACTTAGAATTTTGTGCGAAAGTTTAAGACAATGTTGGACACAGATGAAACGTTTAGCTAATGAACAACGAAATATGCAATATCGTTTAAATCAAATTAACGCTTCAAATAACTGTGATACAATTTTAACAAAACTCTTTTCAGATGCATATAGAATTAATTCCATGTACAGTAAATTATTAACATTAGGTATTATTAATTCTGCTCAATATTTAATCTATTCTGGTGTATCATTATTAGGTTATATGGAATTATCACGTTTTACACATGATGAACTATGGGAAATGACACGTGGTATTGAAGAGTTAAATATTTTACGAGGGCATTTACATAATACATTTCAAATATATCGTAATACACATTTGTATAAATTAATATGTAACGACGAAAATATATTTCATTCTGCTCAAATTTTATCACCAACTACCGATACTACTAGTATTAGTAGTACTTTTAAACCATTATCACAACTTATTTCATATAACTTATTAAATGATCCTGTTGATGTTGTATTTTCGATGTCTGTTGGATGTTTATTTTCACTATTCGCTAAACAACGTTCCTTGCGTCTTGCTCATCTAATCTATTTACACATATATAAGTTTCCAAAACTGTTCTTTAGTGAACCTGATGACAATCATACTACTATCGATTATAATCATAATTTATCAAACAAAAATTTATTACAACAAGAATTTCAGAAATTCATTCAAGATAATCACGGTTTGTTAGCTTCAGACTATCTTCGAAATGAATATGAATTTATATCAAATTTCTTAGATATACTATCTCAATCAACTGATCTATTATATCAAGTACAGAAATTACAACTTGTGTATACATCAGCTGCCGCTACAGCACAAATAAGACAAGTCGAAGCCGAACAACGATTAAAAACTTTTAGTAACACTAATAATTTGGATCCCTGTTCTGTCTCCTCTCCTACCTCCTCCCCGTCTCCATCTATATCACATGCTGTAAGTGTTGAAGGTAAACATGGTGTGTTAGTACGTGCTACTTCAACAAATCATCCAAATATGACAGAAACAAAAGAGATAATTTCTAAAACACCTGGAAAAACAGATATTCATCATAGAACTAACATTTTACCTAACTATATTTCACGTTATCAGGATGCGTTGCATCGTTCTAGCACATTAGATCGATATGTGGCAACTGGATCAGCTGTTTCACCTTATTCATCAATCAGTAATCATACACTTGGTACTGATTTTACTAAATTACAATCGGATAATCAAACAAAACCAGACGATCATAATTACAAAAAAGACAAGAATGATTCTACTACTTATACTGCAACTGAAAGTAGTAGTATCACTGGTGATAAGGAAAAGGAACAAAGTAAACCTAGAGTTAATTCTAAAAAAGGTGTACAGTGGAGTGATCATCGTGAAGTTAGTACACGACATCAAATTATAGGTCGGTATTTGGAGATGACATGGAAGTATTCAGAGAATACGCTAACTAGCTTATTCCTATCCACATCAAGCACGATTATTAAACAGAGGAACGGTAACAGTAATAATATAACTGTAAATGAACCTAAATTGTGCAAATCTACTTTAACTATGCCATCAGTGGAACTTTTAAGATTGGGAAATAATATTTGTCAATTGACGATCACATCAGGTAACTTTCAAATGATTTCGGTTAATCAATTACTTTTACTACTGTTATTACTACTACTAATTTTCTGTTATTCGTAACCATTTAGAACCTTAGATCAGATTTAATAGTGAACTAATATTTCATTACTATTATGTAATAATTTCTTTAATTCACCTAAAATCATTCTTGTGCATTCGTTTCAACAAACACGTTCTTCATACTGAATGACAGAAAATAGAAATTATGTGCGGTTGTTGACAGTAATATGTCCTGATAAATCACTAAATCTGAAGTAGTGTCATTATAACAAATAAATCAATATTTGCTTAACTTGGTTTAATCAAAATTGACCAGATAATGAGTTCAATATTGTTGGATTTGAAACAGTTCTCTATCAAAGGCATTTAAAGATGGTTGATCAGTGTTACGAATCGATCCCAGTTAGAAATGTAAGCCTTTACTTACCTAGACAGTGGTTTAGAGGTTAAGCGCTTATTGCGAGACTTGAAGATACTGGGTTGGATTCTTGGTGAGGTTGCGAATACCCAGAGCTGAGGAGTCTTGTCCGAGGACTAAACAACTGTCTGGTAATTCCTAGTTTTCAACACTTTTCTGGCCGAGACCATTATGTGATAAAAAATTTAACAAAGATTTATTAGTCATTTTGCTTTTGAGTACAGCTTCCTTTCATAACACGACGCCATGTCATACGCCGATTGCCTGTCTGCTTTTTCCAACCCGTCCCAGAGTTGGCAAATAATGCACGATGTGGAACTCGCTAAGACGACATTCGTAGGACGTGTCCAAGCCACCGAGGTCAGTGTCTCAAGATAGTGACACCAATTGACTTGTCGTCGCTGTGCCCGAACACGCGATGACGAACCTTTGAATTACAAAAATGGCGTTGCCACTGGATGTCAGGACTCCTTCAGAGACAACGATGATCAAACACAGAGTCGTCTAACATCAACTTGGAGAGGCCAGGTTTCCCAAGCATAGAGCACAACTGCTCGCGTTGTAGATCCGACTTTTTACAGCCAGACTAACATAACGAAAGCCCCAAAAATAGCCCAGATTGGTACAAGCCGCACAGAATTCAGCCGGAAAACTAGAAATGCTTAGAGGCTGTTACGGATTTGACTGAATATCAGCTGTTTTAATGAAAACATCATTTTTTAGGATTAGTTAGCTAAATAAACAAAGATTTATATTTTATACATTCAGTAGTGGTTCACTTTTGCAATGCCTATTCATGTTTCGTTTCATCTAATAAATTTTAGGCATTTAGTTACTATGATTAATCTGCAACACTAAGTTTCTTAAAGTTTAGTCTGTAAACTGATACATGCCTTCTCAGTTAAATATCTAATGTTAATTATCTAAAGAATTCTTCAAATTTATCGATAATGACAATAGTGTTAAAGAGGAAATGTTATAAACGATTATTACATTCTTCAACCATTTAGTAATGAAAACGATTGTCTGTATATTCTTTCTTCATTCATTTTCATGTATCAAGTTGTGTGAAGTAGTATTGTATTAATAAAGTTGATTAATTTCTGTCCTAAGTAATGTTAATCCTACACTTAGTAACCTAATAATTGCCATTAAGTACATTAAAAAACAATAAATTCACGGTTTTATCACTTATACATTTAGAAAAAATTGAAGTCATGTAACTTTTTATTACAGAATAGACATACTTCACGTTTAACACAAAACAATCATCACTACAACCTGTGAACAAAAATTGTTTTATTTTTTAAGATTTACTTAAGAGAATGTATCTCCGAACTAAGCTTAGATACGTATAAAAAACTTTAATTCCACTGAATGTAATCTATTAAATTTTGTTAAGTTAGATAGTTCTATCGAGGTTTTATATAAGTTAGAAATAACTTTCTATGCAAACTAATATTAAGCGGTTAATCACTGAAATACAGAATAGTGTGGACAACTGTTTTTATTGTAGATTCGGATACCTTGTTGCTTTCAAAACTATTTATTAACTTTTCATCTGTCAGTTAACTTTAAGATACAGGCTATTTTCTTTTATATTGACTTAAAATAAACGCTTTCAAGGAGGAAATATAGTTTAATAGAAGGCATTTAAATTTAACATCTTAATTTAGATATTACGTTTTAACTCAGTAATTAACTTTAAGTAATTATTTCTCTTGTAAGATGGTTTTATTACAGATTAATATACAAAATCTATTTAATTAGACAAGTATTTTCATGTGCTAAGGGCACAGTAGAATATTTTTTTCGTACAGATTAAATGAATCATCTGTTAACTATGAGAATGCAACTAAAAATGCGAAACAAAAGTAAACAATAACACTTTCCTGTTAACTAAAGCAAACACGGGTTTTGATATATTTAGATTGAGTGTAAGAGTTGAATTTAGAACACTGTTTGTGACTCTTCGAATGGACGTATCTTAATCCTACTACTAGTAGTAGGGATCCAAAAATATTGAAATTTGCAACAGAAAGGTTATATCAAGTCAGGCAACACAAGCGACATATATACCAAAAAAAAGACCAATAAGTAGCCTTGAATATTAGTGACAGGATAAGATGTACCATTCAAATTTAATCAGCGTTAATAATGTGATGGAAATTTTCCAAAAGTCAAAACTAAATGACTTCATAGTCTCACGTTTTCGGTCTTTTCCAAATTAATTGAAGCCTTATGGAACAACAGTGAATTTTACTTTAATATATCCTGGTTATACTACACGTGTTAATTCTTAGAGAAACTAGCGGTTTGATGATTCGAGACAGTATTAAAATATTGTTAATCGATTAAACACAGAAAAGACTAACGTAGTGAATGTTTAACTTTCCTTTTCAAAAATGTTTTTTAAAGAAAACTATTTCGATTTTAAGTGATGAATCACTTACTGTAGATTGTTTATTTCCCAGAAATTTTCATACGTGTCTGTATTTCTATAAGCGTTTTTTGTTTTGTTTTTTTGTGACGGAGAGTGATATGGATGTTAGATAGACAGTTGAGTATTGGTAAAATAAGCGAATGCATATTACATTTAGTTTTAATTTTCAAAAGCTTGCAACAGAATGATTTAAGATAGGCAAACAAGGGAATAATCAAAAAGGTATTTCTGATCACAGTCCACCTGAATATATCTTGTAGTTTAAAGAATGACGTAATTGAATGAAACATCAAAGAATTATGAATAAAGAAGCTTTAATTTAGCGCTAAAAACGTCGAATTGTTGAAATATCTGGTTGTTCATTTACAATTGAATATGTGTAAATTAAATTATCTCGGAAACAGATTGGGTTGGTAGAATACAACATTTTGTTGGATTAAAATAAGTCGAGTTACCAATCTTGCTATATGAATACGCAACTCAGTAATTGGTAGATGTAGCACATAAATTTAAATATCTCGGATACTTTTCCTAAAGATCCTTGTGATCTAGATTCACAAGTAGGTAAAGACAGAGACTTCAGTGCCAATGCGTATTCACATATTTAGGTCCCGTTAATAGTTTATTGTTCTTAAAAGATATTATTTACTACTATTGGTACATTTTCCTCAGTTGTAGAAAGTTCTTTGACTGGATGCTTTTAAACTCATGTATAAACATGAACAGTAATATAATCCCTCATTTAACCACTTGATCAACTTTGTACATTCATCAACTCTCCCATTTAATTCCAAACTGCAGTAACATAAATATGTTTCATATAATCCACAATTCACCTTTCTTCACCTTTCAATAAGTATCATTTCAATTTTACAGCTACTAGGGTGTCATATTATAGGGATATTAGGCTGGATAATAATCCAACTTCTGTAAAATGTGAACTTTTGGACTGTATCAAGTGATTCAACAATGAGTGTTACTTTTTTAAATATTTGCGTGATCTGAACTTAGTGCCATAATCATATATCTTTTTATTATAGTTATAAGAAGTATCTTCGGGCCAAACCTCGGGATTTTCGACAGCTTGTTCTGTCGAAAATGAATTTGACTGGCTAATTTTAACGTTTGTGCTGTCATTGTCTGCACATTTATTTTAATTGTCATTCACCTTGACCTAATTCTTGGTTAAAAGTTCATTTGTGATAGTAATTTCAAATTCAGCCTAAAGCCAGAAGCTCAATTCTATCTACTAAATTTTAGAATATAAGATAGAATCATCATTGACCGACCGTTGAATATAGAAAGTCGTGCGGAAATCAGTTAGCTATGTACAGGTTGTTTTTCTTAGGTGGATATAAAGATTACTAAAAATGATCTTAATAACTCATTCATCGTTTAAAGATTATTGTACTTTGTAATACACAGTCTTTGTTTCAAAGGGACAAATAACTTATCATGGAATGGCAACAAAATTAAACTTTTATCCAAATTACATTATATAAGGCCATACAGTAATGCTTCAAGTGGAAGTCATTTGTTAACTCACATATCTTTTTCAGCAAACGTACTTACCAAGTCTCCGAATTTCAGTTTTATTTGTAAATTTAATTAGTACCTGTTTACCGTAGAAATCAATCAGTCTGAACTGGGTTATATAGCTCATTATTACCTAATACGACGATGTCAAAATTTAAGTAAATTTTATTTTATGATAATTCTCACAAGACATGATTACGATTTCAAATCTCAAGTAAATAACTGCACACTTGTACAGAATGTATGTCCAGTATGCCTTACTTTTGAAATATTTACCTAGTTCATATCATCCTATTACGAGAATGAATTTTTATTTAATTAGTCACTAATATGCATTATCCATATCTTTTATCATAGTCTTGGATTCATGCTGATTAGTATTTAGATAACGAAAAAAGAAATATTGTTTAATTTACTTGTTTTTTAATTCATTTATCTATTTCTCTAAATTACTACTTATTTCAGTCAGTAACATAAAAATATTATAATTTTAAATTGTACGAGAAAAAGAGAAAAACATTAGTTAATTGATTTCAACATTAACCAAATGATTTTCGTCATTAAACTAACATAATATTCACGGTAA